TACTGTCTGAAAAACGACGAATTACTGTGTGTGTGTGTGGTAATGGTATGTGTGAACTTGTGGTGTGTGTGTGTGTAGAACTGTGTGTTACAGTTTTGGGACTTGTATCAAAAACATTGTGTGGTGTAAAGAAAAACGAAAGTAGTGCTAAAGTATTAGTTATGCCATGGTTGTGTTTTCATGCAGAGTAATTGTGAGGTATCTTCCCCACCTTCCCTACACTGAAACAAAATATATTAAACGCAACAACTTTTGTTTTTGCTCCATTTTTCCTGAGATGAAACTCAAAGATCTAAAACATTTTCTACTTGTGATCGTGTGAATGAATAACCATTCTTCTCCTGATGTTTGCTATATAGATAGATCTAGTTACCGAATGTGTTTGTGAGAATATGAGCGATAGTGAGCACTTCTCCTTTGCTGAGATAATCCATCCCACCTCACAGGTGTGGCATATCAAGATGCTGATTAGACAGCATGATTATTGCACAGGTGTGCCTTAGGCTGGCCACAATAAAAGGCCACTCTCAAACGTGCAGTTTTGCTTTATTGGGGGGGTCTGGGGGCGTCCGAAAACCAGTCAGTATCTGGTGTGACCACCATTTGCCCCATGCAGTGCAACACATCTCCTTCGCATAGAGTTCATCAGGTTTTTGATTGTGGCCTGTGGAATGTTGGTCCACTCCTCTTCAATGGCTTTGCGAAGTTGCTGGATATTGGCAGGAACTGGAACATGCTGTCGTATACGCCGATCCAGAGCATCCCAAACATGCTCAATGGGTGACATGTTAGGGTTAGGGGTTAACCCTAGGGTTTTCGGACCCCCCCAGACCCCCCCAATAAAGCAAAACTGCACGTTTCAGAGTGGCCTTTTATTGTGGCCAGCCTAAGGCACACCTGTGCAATAATCATGCTGTCTAATCAGCATCTTGATATGCCACACCTGTGAGGTGGGATGGATTATCTCGGCAAAGGAGAAGTGCTCACTATCACAGATTTTTTCAGATTTGTGAACAATATTTGAGAGAAATGGTTATTTTGTGTATATAGAAAATGTTTTAGATCTTTGAGTTCATCTCATGAAAAATGGGAGCAAAAACAAAAGTGTTGCGTTTATATTTTTGTTCAGAGTAGTTACAAAACCTTAAAAGCTAGTTCTCACATTTTCACTGAACTGTTGATGCTATCCTGAGTATTTTAGGGCAGAGAGGACATACTATAAATGAGCAGCATTTTTCTAAAATACTTTCCCAATTCTAGCTGTCCTTGTGTGTCAGTGTGTGTGTACTTGTGTGATTTTTCTTACCTCGAGATGTCCATGTAACTAAGATTGGAGGGCACAGGACTGACATCCAGTTGCCGTAGCTCTGTAGGGAGAAATCCAAACACATTAACCTACAGCAAGGACAGACGCGGCCTATTACAAAAGCAGGTAGATGGAAAATGGAGGGAAGCGTTTAGGAGGGGGTGGGGGGGGTTCTTTAATAACAAGTTAGAGATGGATGACGGAGAAAGACAATGAAACTGCAGCACTGACTTAATTGCACAAAAGGACATTGTTTCACCCAATGTCATATAGAAGGACAAAGTGACATCTGTGAGGTGGGATAGAAGTTAGTTGGATTTCAGTTTAGAGATGGCGGTGAGGAGTGTAGTATTTGTATCCACACATACAAATCCTGCGTGCCAAACCCACCGTTGTTGGAGGCGTAGATGCCTTTGAGCAAGCAACTCTTGGTCTTGAGGCAGCTGATGCGATTCCTCTCGCAGTGAAGCACCTCCAGCCGGGGGAAGACCGAGGCGTCCAGCTCCGTCAGCCGGTTGTCCCTCACGTCCAGCTGAGTCACGTGTCTCAGCAGGTCAGGCTCATCCGGCACCATGCTGGAGATCTTATTCAACCTGACAGAGGAAGCAGGGAGGAGGTTCAGCTCCAATTGGATCAGGTTGAACCGCACAGGCTGTGGCCTTTCTTGCAAGGCAGGGAACATGCCTCAGGAGATGGCTGATATATAGTGCAGCAGCTACTTGAGTTGGTTTCGTATTCAGTTGTCATCATTTATGGCAAAAACTGATATCACTCCGACTCTTAAACAATAACCAGAATGTGGATTATATATTCAGGCTAAAGCATCAGCCCTCGCATAATTGCATTGGTTGTCTTGATTAACAGGCAATAACTTCTGATGGGAAAATGCTTTGGTTTTTAAACTTAAATAAGAAAACAATCAGTCTGGAAATAAAAACAGCCAAAACAGAAGTTAAAAATGAACTTTGTTAATATGAGAAGAAACAATTTTTCATAATATTGAGTTACTTTAAAAAAAAAATGATTGAGTGTTTTTTTAATGTTATGCTTTCCCTTTGTTTTAATTGACTAATCATTTCAGCTTGTCTGGACGCGTTAACAGGCAATATGTCAACAGAAACAAACGGCTGCAGCCCACATCAATCTCATCAGGTGATCTTTGCTCAAACAGGAATGCTGGAAAACGTATTTACTGACCTCGTCTAAGCAAAGTGAGAAGGGGTGAAGTATTAACTGAAGAATAGTGCAAGTCACTCCAGCTCTATGCGTTTACTAACAAAGAGGAGACACCTGATGGAGCCACTGAAGGCAAATGATTTCCTGATTCCGTGCTGTCTGGCTGTCTGCTTGTGTTTTGGCTTCCTCTTCATGTTATTCTTTCTATCAATTATGGGATCACAGATTTCCTTGAGTTCTGGAAAAACCATTACAGAGGACTCTAAGGGACACTTGTTAATGACATAGTTTCTAGTAGATCATTCAAACAATCCCAAACATAAGTGATCATTGACATTACGAGTATCTTAGACAATAAGCAGAGTTGTGCAGCCCTATTTATTGACCTTTCCAAAGCGTTTGACACCGTCGATCATCGCATCTTAAAGCAGAGGCTAGCTAGTATAGGCATATCCAGCCATGCAGTGGGGTGGTTTGTGAACTACCTCTCTGAAAGGTCCCAATGTGTTCACTTTGATGGGCTGTCTTCTGAGTGGTTGAACTTTGCTAATGGTGTTCCTCAAGGTTCTGTTTTAGGTCCACTTTTATTCTCTATATATATCAAAAGTTTAGGTGAAAATGTCGATGAAGCTACTTTACATTTTTATGCGGATGATACCGTGATGTACTGTGCAGGTCCCTCCATTAAGGAGGCTGTTGTTAAATTGCAGACTGTTTTTAACATTATTCAGACTCAGCTCTCTGAACTAAAGCTTCTTTTAAATGTTGATAAAACCAAGTTAATGCTCTTTTCAAAAGCTAAAAAGACACCAGCCTGTTGTAGATATTGTTACTATGCAAGGACAAGTACTTGAAGTGGTTGCCTGTTACAAATACCTTGGTATCTGGCTTGATGATTGTCTCACTTTTAAACTTCGTCAATAACCTGCTTAAAAAACTGAGGGTTAGACTAGGTTTCTTTTTCAGAAACAAGTCCTCTTTCTCTTTTGAAGCCAGGAAAAGGCTAGTCACTGTGACCTTTTTACCTGTGCTGGACTGTGGTGATCTGGTCTATATGAATGCACCTGCCCATTGCCTGAACAAGTTAGATGCCGCCTATCACAGCGCACTGAGATTTTTCACAAATTGTAAAGCACTTACTCATCACTGTACCCTGTATGCCAAGGTTTGCCATCACTTACTGTACGGAGGCTCAGTCATTGGTACACGTTTATTTATAAAGCTTTGTTGGGTAAACTCCCGTATTATATCTGCTCTCTGATAACAAAGAGAGTTGCAAGCAGCTATTGTCTGAGATCGCATGATGTACTATTGTAAGATGTGCCAAGAGCAAGGACTGTCTTAGGTAAGACAGCTTTTATGTGCGCAGCGCCACTTGCTTGGAACAGTCTACAGCTAAAATTGAAACTGAGCAATTTTATTCCTCTGAATGTTTTTAAAGCACGTCGAAGTGAAATGCTGTTTGAAACTATGGGTATTTGTAAATGTTGATAAGAATGTAAATGTAGCTTGTAAATATGTTGTATGATATCCTCTATTGTTTTATGTTGTTTTATGTTTCATGTGGAACCTAATTGCTGCAGGTCTCCCTTGAAAAAGAGATCTATGATCTCAATGGGACCAATCTGGATAAATAAAGGTTTGAAATGAAATGAAAATCATGATTTCTCTTCTTTTTTTCTGAATATTTGTAATATGCCTAAATTGCCGTACCTTAGATCGATGTGTTTGACTCGTAGAAGTCTGAAATTCTGCAGTGTGAGTGTTTCTAGGTTGTTTCCAGCCATGCACAGCTTCTCCATGGAGGTCAACTGCTCCAGCACCTGCGGCACATGCTTGAACTGGTTGAAGGAGAGACCTAAGTAACTCAGCCTCTGGAGGGAACACAGCTCTTTGGGAAGCTCATCTAGACTGTTGCCGTCCAAAAGGAAAGTCTGCAAACTGAGAGAGGAAAAACAAATCAGACGTTTGACTACATCATGAAAGAGGTGATTGGCAAGAAAGCAATTCAATAAAGATTTGTTTTTATTTAGCTTAGGATCAATGACGCTGTGCTAGATAGAACTTGTGCTACAATTTCAGCATTCAGTACACTTCATGTCCAGCAGATGACAGTAGCGGGTTAAATGCCCTACCGGCCACTACAGGAATTAACAGGCATACCAGATCATTCCTGCAGATTAACTTCTCATCTAGCCCAGCTTCTACCCACATACCTGCTTTATAAGTTTACAATGAGGTTTGACTCTAAAGCACAGGCACTTCCCATGAGCCAGTAATGACCAAATCACTCGCTTCATTTACGTATTTGCTTATGTCATGGTGGTGTAAATTCGCCCTAGAAATGCATTAATTGTCATGTCCATTAGTTCTACCGCCTGTTAGTTTTTATTTTGTTGATGTATTTTTAACGAGTGCTCTGTGGCCTATTTAATTTGTTATTGTTAATTTTATTGTTTTTTTTTATTACTGGAGCTTCTGTTTGACTTTCTTTTTTATTACATATTTTACGCAATGTAAGGTGACCTCGAGTGGGATTAAAGGCCCAATTCAGTATAATGCATTATTAATATTTTTGTATATATTTTACTTTTTTTCTGACAATCCTTTAAAGAGTGAGTCAACTGATTTCCACAAGCAGGGGAGCTCATACTGGATCTCTACCAACACTTCAAATGATCTGAGCTTTGCATGAGAACAAACTGGTTTCCTGCCAGAAAAATCTGATTTGTTAAATTCTCTTTAAAAGTTTTACCTAGAAATAAATCTGTGATTACTTTGAGGGATAGAGTACCAATGTCACCCAGTAAACCTATTATAACAGCAGAACCAATTGACATTATTCATTTCAACAATGTAATTCAGTGATCCCTCAATTAGGGGTCAATACTTTACTGACAGTAAAGTTCTCAAGAAATGCAGCACACATTTCCATAAAAAGTTGAGGCCAAAAGAAAAAAGGAGATGGTAAAAACTGGATTTTCATACAACAGGTTTGCCCAATAAGAAACTAAACAAACTTGTAGAAAACACTGGTAACAGCTTTAAAACAGCTGACTAACAATAAAAGGAGTAAATTGACTTGCATAAACCAACAACTAAACGCTGGACAGGCTATGAAAGGCAAAAAGCCACAAGCAAGTCGAGTCGTTGTTTTCTCACATGTTGAAACCAGCAAAGTACACCATGGTGGTTGTTATGCCATGTACTTGTTGCTAGGTAACTCCCACATTTGGCTATGAGGTTGGTTTGTGAAAGGGTTCACTGGTTTCCCACCACATGAGATGGCATCAATGCAAGCAAGCACAGGCCCCAACTCAGCAGTATCCCAAAACAATAAGAGAAACAGTGAAATAACTCCAAACATTACAAGTCAATTGCAGAGAAATGTAAGGTAAACACCAGACACATAATACATTTTAGAAAAAACAATAAAGGAGGAAAAGCAGGCTACAATATGTCTGACATTTAGATAATAGGTTTATTCAGACTCTGAGTTTGGCAAAGATTTCGATCTTGCAACATATACACTGTTGGTTTTCACCATAGTCAAATATCAGGTCTGTATCCTCAATAACTTCCTTCTGTTACTTACTTGATCATGGCCCCCACAGAGCCTGGGACACAGGTCAAGTAATTACAGCTGAGGTTGACCTCCATCAGCGTGGGGATGTCACAGATGGCCGGGGGGAATTGACCGATGTGGTTGTTGGACAGGTTGAGGCTCCGCAGACGAGAAAATCTGCAAATAGAGGATGAAAGTGTTAATGAAACATAAGAGGAGAGGTTAGGGCTGCTCGATTATGGCAAAAATCATAATCTTGATTATTTCGGTCAATAATTGATATCACGATTATTAAAAACGATTATCCATTTACTTTTGAAAACATCCATTTATTGAAAAAAAAATGTAAAAAGTATGTTTTTAACAGTTGATTACCCTGAACTTTAAGCATAATTCAACTGAAAAACCAATACAAAAATAAAATAAAAAACAAATTGATAAATACATTTATAAAAAAAAAAAAGAATCGTTTTATTTCGATTATGTTGTTTTCATAATCGTTGCAAGTAGTGCCGTATTAAAATACGATTACTTGAGCAGCCCTAGGAGAGGTAAAGAGGAGCTGAGAGAAGACGAGCAAGGGATTGGAGCTGTAGTTGCATCTTGTCAGCATGAATATTGCAACAGAGTGGAAGATATTCATAAATATATTCATGAATATATTCATTGGCAACGTAGCAAAGTATAACTTACCCAAGATTTGTTTCAGCGAAAAACACACACAGTTGGATTGAACTCAATCCAAACCCCTCACATTTTAATTGTTTAGGAAACAAGCACAGCGTTGACGTCTCTGTTGTTCATTCAAACACTAGTGACCAGTGGCATTTGGCATGGTGTCCTATGGCACAGCAGCGACCTTCAGAGGGGTAAGCCCCTTAGAGAGGGAGGGAGCACGACAACAAGGCAAAGCAGAGGAAATGACTGTGTCTTTATTTATCCATCTACACACACACATGGGACCTCTTATCACCTATCATTTGCACAGCGAGAGCAGCTATGGCGAGCCGGAGATGGGCAGCGTGCCATAAAAGCACCGCGGGCAGGAGCAGCTGCTTCAACTGACACTACTTGATTTACCTCCCTTTTGTGTACACACACACACACACACACACACACACACACACACACACACACACACACACACACACACACACACACACACACACACACA